TGACTATGGAAAAGGTGGTCCATTACCCAACAGTGACGTGGTTTGAATAGCGATTGACCGTACAAAGAACAGCAAAGTGGCTGGAGTTAACGGCTTACCAGCAGAGCGGATCATCGAACATGTCAGTGAAGAGCTGACGAGGTGCATGGTTCATGGTAGGACGAAAGCTTGCCCGACGATTGGGATTTAAGTGTGCTCTGCCCGATCTATAAAAAAGGGCATCCTACGATCTGCGACAATTACCGTGGGCTAAGTCTCTTAAATATCCCATCTAAAGTACTATCGAGCATATTGTGTGAAATACTAAAGCCCACCGTCAACAAACTGATTGGACCTTATCAGTGTGGCTTTCGACCTGGTAAATCCAGCGTTGACCAAATCTTTGGAAGAGACCCGTAAAAAAAGATCAACACACACCACCTCTTAAACTTATACGGCTGTATAAACTGACGATAGACAACACCGGAGGCGCAGTCAGAATTGGAAAGAAACTTTCCCAACGGTTCGGAACCCAACGAGGTGTCAGACAGGATGATTCCTTATCTTGTGACTGGAGAAAATAATAAGAGCTGAATAGAGATGGTAGAATCTTCCACAAGTGTGTACAACTACTGGCGTACGCCGATGATATTGGCATTATTGGCTTCAGCAACCGCACCGTGAGTTGAGCGAAGCGAATGGGTCTAGTAGTGAACGAGGACAAGACGAAATATCTACTGTCATCAAACAAACAGTCATCGCATTCGCGATTTGGCTCTCCCACGCCACTATTGACAGTCAAAACTTTAAAGTCGCAGATAATTTCGTCTATCAAGGAACGAGGCCTGGAAATCCAGAAGACAGAATTACTCTTGCCCACAGGTGCTTCTTTGGACTGAGTAGGCAATTGAAAAGCAAAGTTCTTTCTCCACGAACGAAAACAAATCGCTTATCGATCTCGTCCTGGTGTATGGTGCTGAGGCATGAACAATGACATTTGATGAGCAGGCCCTGAGAGTTTTCGAGAGAAAAGTTTTGCGATCTATTTATGATCCTTAACGCATTTGAAGCAATGAAAATCTCACTTTTTATATATAAACCCATATATATGTATTATTGGCTCCTGGTTCTTTTTCAAAAGTTTAACTTTAAAAACATCAAGACACGGCATACCATAATGTTAGATTATGTTTGTATGTAATTACAATACTTTTTACTGTCAAGTTCTTCGTAACACATACTGAAAATATTTCTTTTTACAATTTTATTATATTTTTCTTCCTCAAACATGCCCCATGAAACCTTAGAAGTTCACACCGCTCATATGAGAAGCAGCATGATCAGCAAACTAAGCGATAAGAGTATAGAATATACATACATACATATATGTATGCATATAATAACATTAAAAAAAAAGAAAAACATAAACAAAACTTGTGAGCCCCTTAAATGAGAGCAACGATCCCCAGAGGCATGCCAGACATACTCGTACATATGAGAGAGGATTCACTTAGAAAGTACAGACAAGTAAGTATGATTGTTTCCGTTGCACAAAACTCATGAACATCTATTCATGTACAGTAAAATAAAAAAACATACATACATATACACATGCATGAATTCACACAATAAATTTCGCTCTGGAGTCCAGCATGATCCAATCAGTTCTCCACAATTTAGTGCTCTATGCCGAGTCGGCGCGTGAAAGTCGGCTGTCCAGTTAATTCAAAGCTAATTTTAAAATGCCGTAATCGCTACGGGAAGTGTCAAATATTAAATAAAAATATAAAAAATATAACAGACATGAATAGTGTGTAATTGAACAAGTAATTAAAAATTTTTTAAATTAACAGAAAAACTGACAAAAAATGGTAAAACTGAGTTTATTGCATATTAAAATTAAAAATATTAAATAAATAAAATAAATTGTTAAATAATTATTTAAAGAATATAGAACACTGAGAAAAACCTGAAATATTATTTCGAAATTAGTGTCTAGCATACAATCCCAACAACAATTGAGGTCATAGTTTTATGCTGTGATAACCCAAAAATTAATTCGTTCGCGTCTGATGTGTCCAAATTGGACTGGCAAAGATTTGTATGCAGACTCATACATACATATATTCGGGTGTATATATGTACAAACTTAATGTATGCGCCGACAATATTATCAAATGCCCACATACATACATACATATTTATATTGGTGTACATACAATGAATGATATGAAAAACATCTGTGTGCTATTTGCCGGTTAAAAATGTTTTATTGTGATGCTGCGATGCTCAATTTGCTCAAAGATGCAAAAATCTATTTTTTATTCCATATATTTTTTATTCTACCCAAAAATTTAAAATTGTGTACACGAGTGAATGTATCATTGCAAAGTGAGCACAACTTCAAATAGATGTTCTCCTCCATTCAAGACTGATTAGCACAATGATTCCACACTCCAGTCAACAATAGCGTCACTTTCGTTTCGCTGTTTGGTGGGAAATTGTAAGCATTGGGAGAAGCCAACTCCTTCTCCGCCTGTTATTTCCAATGAGGTGTGGCCTTCACTTCCTCTTCACTGAACTAGTATGTCAATATCGTCGAATATTTTGTGTTGTTCATACTATCACCGCCTACGATATTCATCATCCCTGAAGCTAAAGGGCTGGAATCGTGTTTCGACCAACCATCAAAATTATAAAAAATAATTTGTTCTAATTGCAGTTGCCACTCAGTAGGGCACGCCAAGGCCTCCGAGTGTATATCTGACATGAAATAAGAAAAGTTCCTCATAAAAATCCATCGTTCGGAGACGACTTAGAATCAACTACAGCTTCCTCGATATGTTGGAAAAATATAAAGATGGAGGTAGAGCTCGGCCGAAAATCACTCCAGCGGTACCAACTGCCAATTATTAAATATAGTAGGCAAATCTCTATGTATAATTCATTCGCAAAGCCTTTCACTCGAAAAATCCTATTTCCATGTTTTGGAAATATAATCATTAGCCGTCCGAACTTGTATGAGATTATAAAGCGGGGTGAATCACTCTCTATTGCTTTCTAGATCCCAGCTATGCTTTAAAGCATTATACCCAAACTTACCTATCGTATGTCCTGCATTGAATCAACCCACGCACGACACTAATTACCTCCTCGCAAGTCCACTAAATCCTCATCATCTTCATTTAAAATCCCTCTCGCTCTTATCCGTATCCTTTAGATGACGCCTACAACATCGACTACCTTTTACTCGCCCCTGCGGGTTAGCGATTCAAGAATTTACCCGCGGTAAGGCATACCTATCGTAAGAGGCGTCTAAAATACAATAGTTCCCGCGAGAGTCGGGTCTCTACACCGGAACGACCCGGATTTTTATCCAGCCAAGAACTGTCACTCCCACGAAATTCCCCAAAAAGTACTTTGGGAAATATTCTGGAGGTTACAACAACAACAACTACCTTTTACTGCTCCTAAGCGGTGTTGTCGGGTGTTAGAACATGTACCGACGCCGACGAACATGTTCCGACGCCGAACACTGCACGAAGTTACGTCAAAATTGATAAGTCGCCCTTTCCGATTTCTTCAAGTTGAATGAGATTGAATGAAATCGTGTTTGTTGTAAATTTACAAAGCCTCAACATAGTCCTCTATCTTGCTGTTCAAATGGTAAGATCAAAGAAAAGTTCTAGACAACATTCAAATCAATAAGCCGGTTGCCCACATGATACACAGCTAATATCTACAGGCTGTGAACAAAAGGGTAAGCTCCAACCTGTCTAATACCGCCATGAGAACCGACGCGGGAAACTTCGATAAAGTCTCGGTGGCTTAGATTGATTTTAAACCTGGCCCTAAGCGGGGTTAACGTAGTCGCTGCAACAACCACAACAACAACTGATGAAGCGACATTCGGAGTTCGCAAAACCAATTCTTTATTGAATATTCGTCCCTCACGTACGTGCGTTCCAGGGATTACTACCGTTGCTCAAAGTGTGCTCGAACAGCCAGCAACATCAACTCGACACCATTCGCGTGTATTAACCAAACGCTTACTTATTTGACATCAGTACGGAGCCTTATTCCATGGGTCCAAGAACTGAAGCCTTATGATCATCTGCTGCGATTTCACTACGCTGAAAATGAGTGTTTTTTTGGATTAACTTTGAAAACGAAGAAGTATATGCCTGAAAATACTCTCAAGGCCAAGTAATCTTAATGGCGATGCAAACTACCCGCCTCACCGCGTCGATTTGATTCCGTTGGACTATTTTTGGCTCGGTCTGTTAGGGATTATTGCTATGCCAACCACCCAGAGACGATTCATGAACACTAAACTGAAGTCACCATCGCAGTCATAGAATGCCTGACAATGGCAAATGGAATAATGAAAAGTAGGTTCAACAGAATATACAAGGCCTGCTGCGACAGCCATTTGAATTTAGTGGCTCCTCATTAACTGTTGCAGATTTCAATAAAGACAAAATCATTGAAAAATATTTATCCGCCTTTTTCATAAAAATTTTTGAAAAATTTATGTCAACAGAACCGCAAACTAGCTCAGTATAAAAAGAATAGACCAAAAGACCAACGTAAAGTAAGATCCAAGTACAATAAAGCACACTAAAGGAGCATAACGGTAACAACCTTGCAAGGAGTTGGTGCAAATGCAAGAAACGCGGTCTACAACGGTGGCCAATGAGTTGCCTTTAAGATGGCTTTAAATTTCCAATCGAACAAAAAAAATAATATTCAAAATTCTACGTATTTTATTGATTTTTCATTCCCTATATTTTTTTCTTTGGAAATTTCGAGAATATTTGACAGCAACGTTTCTAAACTCGCTTTCAGGCAAACAAATCTTAAACATAAATTACCTACAAACAAAGGTCGAGGTGAAATGATAATTGGCTTTTCAATCACTTATTTCTTCTTCTACTATGAACTTTACACTCTTCTCTTCTTTTATTTTATTTTGATTTTATTTTATTTTTATTTTATTTAATTTTTTTTTTGCAGTCGAAAATGTTCTGCCATATTATTTTACTGCCAATTATGCTGGCATTCTTGCAAGCGTTTTCATGGTCACCAGCCGCTGTGGAGGGAGCCAAAATTCTTGGACTTTTCGCCCATCCAAGTGAAAGTCATTTTGCCGTTATGCGTAGCCTAATGTTGGAATTGGCCAAGCGTGAGCACAATGTAAGTGTGTAGTGGTGTGTGATCCTTTGTGAAATTTCTTAAAATTTTATTCTACTTTTCCTTTTAAGGTCACTGTTTGTAGCAGCCATCGGCTAAATGAACACGTAGAGAATCTGCGTGAAATCATTGTGGAGCCGGAATTTCCTTTTTGGAAGAAATGTAAGTATGTATGAAAGAAAATATAATATTTTTTTTGGAAAAGAAATATTTAATAATAATATTTAAATTCACTATTACAAGGAGTGATTATTAGACCCAGCCTAAAATATGAAAATTAATTTTTATTACGGTGGTCGGCCCTATCAGCCGTTCGAAGGAGTTTTAGAACCAATTGTTGGTCTCTCCACTTTTTTTTTTTGAAAATACGTAAGGACGCACATCCCGAATTGTACAAGGAATTCGACCAAATTTTGCCTCCGAGGTCATAAAGCGCCTGTTGTTTCTATTTTTTTAGAAGTGTGACTTTCAATGAGTCAATGATATATTCGGAGTTGGTATTCGACAGCTGCTACTTGATTTATACTCAGTTTGGCATTACCATTACATAATGAACCTACCTCCTACGGAACAGCGTTCACAAATCGTGCAAATTTATTACCAAAATAATAGTGTCTTACGGCTTCGTCTCATATTCAGTCAAAATAATCGTCCAGCAGAGTCTGTAATTCGAGCAAGCATGGATCGATGGCGCACCACATTTACTCTAGTGGTTAATGCACATCGTCCGAGACGCCATACAGTACGCACCCAGCACGCTATCGCTGCTGTGGAGTAGAGTATCGAGCAAATTCAAAATGAGTCTGCGCATGCAAAAATTGGAGCTGCTCCCACTTCGTGAAAGATTTTACGTAAGGGCCTCGGCTTACGAGTTTAAAAAATTGAGTTTCATTTTTCATCAAACACGTACGTTATTCATCAGTAACATCCTCAAAAAGTCACTGTTTCGTGTGCTCTATGGGTAAACGGAATTGTTGGTCTATATTACTGGGACTCAATGACTTTTTGGTGCCTGAATAAAAGGATGTTGATTTGGACGACCTTCAGTTCGACGAAGCCGGCGCCACATGACATACAGTCAACGAAACAATTAAGTAATTGAAGGAAAATTTTAGGGATCCAATTATCTCAGGTTATGGGCCTATGGTGTTGCCTTTAATCTCGTGCCAATTAACACCGCTGCCCTTTTTTTTGGGGGGGTTATGTGAAGTCGCTGGTCTACGCAGATAAGCCCGGTACAATTAGCGCGTCAATCAGAGAAGAATATTCGGCGCGTTATTGCTGGCATAACCGAAATTATTCCATCACTCGCCGAAAACAGGCACGAAGAGCATTCTTGAGTGGGCAAGGCGAGTAAAGGACCGTTCCTCGGATACATTGTATTATCTCTGCTTCGTATTCGTTAGTTCTTTTTTATCCAACCATGTTACGAACCGAATTATAGCGGACAAGGATGGACCAAGAACGTAAGGACCATTGTATAGCCTAAAAAGCAGAAAATCCTAAGATCTCTTTCTGCTTTTAACTCACAGCTGAGATCACCTGATCGTTTACGTTCTTAATTTTGGTTCTCATGCCATATAATATAATGAAAACTGTAGCAAAGTGGAAAAGCAGTTTTCGAAATTGACATATAAACTTTACAATGCTAACGACCTGTCACTTCATTTTGTTACTTCTCGCTCTCCCCAAGAAGAAATTTTCGGTATTTCATATGAATCTGACTTCCCCGATCTCCGTGCTGCATGCCAATTGCTGTGAAATACTTAGACCACGGTCTTCGTCAAAAGAAATTATTTAAGCAGAAGTAGAGTAGGAGTTTCGAAAAGAGTGCCGAGATGGCCTAAAAGCTCAATAGTAGCAGATAAAGCTTTTATGGGCAGATATTTAGAGAGCCGCATCAAACATGAATGAAGTAAGTTCCGGGGTATCTTTCAAGATGCGACGCAAGGTATAAGACAGCTAGTGACGCTGATAATAAGCAGCAGTAAAAGCGGCCAAGAGAATCACTCTTTGGTATACCATTGGACCAATGAGGTGCGGTGTCTTTTCTGCTCAATTTCGTTTTCTCTGAAAGAGCGATTGATTTAAATTCAAACGGAAGACAGCAACTATGCGTTTAGAGCTAGAAATCCATGTTTACTAAGCTTCGGTGGGTACCACTGGAACTTTTATGGCAAAGACGTACAAACAACAGGCAGCAGTGAGAGCGTGGACTAAAACCGCTGTATCGTTGATACTTTTTTGCTTGTGATCTTGTAAAGTGTATTTTTTGATAAGAAACAATTTCCGGGCAGACAATAATTGCCATTTTTCATTTCGAGACATCATTAGGTCAACAGACTAACTTCTTCCTTAACAATTTCCATATAATTTGATTTTCTTTACTCTTTTCATTTCTCCCTCTGTTTCCGGCAGTGTTGGAAATCACAGATAGCCAAGTGGGCGGTCTACACAAACTAAGTCAACTCGCCGAGCCGTCAATGCAAAAGTCACTGGCCACTGTGGGTGCCGCCGCCGTCGATTACTTCCTGTCGAATGCAGCCGTACAAAAGTTACTCCATTTACCAGTCAATGAATTCGATTATGACCTGATAATTGTGGATTTATTCTACACCGAATCGCTACTAGCAGTGGGCCATTTCTATGGCAAACCCACAATTGGTATTGTGAGCACAAATTTCGAGAATTATATGCAACACGTATTGGAGCAAATGGTACCGGTCGCCTGTTCGCCCAACGATTATGAAACCTACCAGCCGGCGGCGGGCTATTGGCAACGGCTGGGCGCTGTGCGTGGTTGTGTGTCGAGACGTAAACAATTTGTGAAGGCCAATTGGGGTGCACAAGAAACTTTGTTGCGACGACATTTCGCACATTTCGAAGGTAAATTGAAAAACTCATACATACATGCGTGTATGTACGTATATAAATTTGTACACGGTCTATTTATAAATACGTGTGTGCAAATAATTTTTTCACATATTCAATCAAAATTTTTATTTTTGTATTAATTCGCTTAAAGGTGCGAGCGAAATTAACATTGCCGCGCTGCAGGCAGAATTGGCTGTCCTGCTGCTCAACAGTCACGTCCCATTGTTGACGCCGCGTCCTCTGTTGCCGAACACAATTGCCGCTGGTGGCATGCACATACGGCCGCCACGTGAGCTACCATGGAACATACGTCGCTTTCTGGATGAGTCCCGCGCTGGTGTTGTGTACGTAAATCTCGGCAATGAACAACTCTGCGCCGATATACCAAAACCCACATTGCAATTGCTTCTCCAAACACTGGGCAAACTGAAAGAGCGCGTGTTGTGGACGTGCCACGATGAACAGGCGTTGAAAGATTTACCTGCCAATATAATGGTGCAACATCTGGTGGCACAGGCTGACATTTTGGCACATCCCCATGTGCGTGCGTTTCTGATGAATGGTGATTTACTTGGCCTACAGGAGGGTATCATGCGACATGTACCCATGATTGGTGTGCCAATTTTTAGCAATGAAGTGCACAATATGGCGTTGGCGGTGCGGCTTGGCGTTGGCATACAATTAAGTCATGACAATCTAACGGAGACGTCACTTAAATGGGCGCTTCAGGCGATCAAGGAGGATGGAACGTATCCGTTGAAAATACGTCAGGTGGCTAGCACCTTCCGTGATCGGCCGCTGGGTGCTGTGGAGACATGCATGTATTGGATGGATTATGTATTGCGTCATCAAGGGGGCGTACAGCTAAGAACGCTCGGTGTTGGCATACCTTCCAGCCACCTACATCTCTTTGATTTGTTCATATTCTATTTTGTTATGGCGCTGTTGATTGTTGGCGTACTAGCTGGTGGCTTTTACGGTGTCATAACATTTTTGCGAAGTCGTGGTATGGACAAAGAGTACTCGAAACTAAGTTAATTTTCTTCAGTGATGTCATAGTTGAGTGAAATAAATTTTAATTTTATTTTTATACATATAAATTCAATAAGTTTACTTATTTCTTTACGAAGGTGCAGTTCAAATGTGTGTCATGATATATTTTCTAAAGTGAGGTTATGAACTAAAGTTAACAGAAAAATCCGGGTTCGGTTATAAGAGTTTCATTTGTCTTTTTAGTTCTGCTTTAACTCGTAAACACTGAACAATTGGAAGTACGAAATGAAACCAGGACGGAGTAGAGGTCTTCCTCTTCAACTACTTCCACCGGTGAGTACTACACCGCACCCCGAAACCATTCACATGATTTGACTCAGCCAGCGTAACCGCTGTCTATTTATTCGCTGAACTACACACATATGTATATCAATGTCGCCGTATGTCTCGATTCATTATCTGCAGCATTCGCCGTCACCTATACGCAAGGGTCATAAGTCTTCTGCAAAGCATTTCCTTAGAGAACTCTCCAAACCGACTTATCGGGTATTGACATCGTCCACGCTTCGACCTCTTACAGAAATGTGGCAGTAATGAGCGATAAGGAGGTTTTGATCTCTGATCGTCGAGAAAGGAATTTACTTTTCAATTACGTCTTCAGCCTAAAGCAGCTACCGTTGCCCAGATTGATTCAGCTTTGGATAGACGAAGGATAGGCGAAGTTATTTACGACTTCAAAGTTGTGGCTGTCAACAGTGCTTGTTTGATGAAAAAACGATGCAAACGCTTTGTCAGTTCTTTTCAAGGATTCGGCAAGTTGGACATTTTCTTAAGCTCTTTATAGTTACATATTTCGACCTTTTTTACCTTCAAATGTGTCTTGCGCCCTCTTCAACACTCGACACGTCGCCTGACTGTCTCTGTGATTGCAGCTTCTTCTTCCTTGTGCAAAGATGGCATCCGAGTTGGTGTTTGGTCCTCGTGGAGTACGCATATCTATAACACTAAATGCATACCTTCCGTCTGTCAAAACATTTGGTTGCGTATTTTTTGATCTGGTGTCAAAAGTGTAGCTTGATGAATTTTCTTGTGACCAATACCAGTATTGTGCTAAGACACAATCATATTTCGAGCCCCAAAAATGTCGATCAACCCGTTCGGGGTTATTTTGGGTTCACTTCGATTTGATTGTGGATCGTTCATCTACTGAAGTGAATGTCAGAATTGGATGAAGGAATCTTTCTCCTATCACAGATCCAACACTAAATTCGCTCACCTTTATATAGCCGCTGAGTAGACTTCACGAGGACCCACCTTCAGCCGCCCTTCTTCCCTATATCGCACCTCGTACTCGGCGCTTTTTGTTAGATTTTCCCTTACTCACTCGTCTTCAAACGGATACTGGGTCTGAAGTCAAATTTCGTGAGCTGCTTGAACCGTAGTTTAAATAATCTTTTCTGCCATGTACCAGCTAAATGAGTCCACTATCTTTTACTTGTACTTTTGTCTCCATTCCAGCACGTATATTTTACCATGGAAAAATTCGTGAAGTCCAAACAGGCAGGTGGTCGTGAAAGTTTTGAATAAGGTAGTTAAATACTAGTCTGAAAAACTTCCTTCGTATTCAGCAGTGGGGTGCAATTATAACCAATAACAGTAACTAAACCCGGACCGAAGCAGTCTAACTACCGATACGGAAGCGTCAGATGCTGGGAAGCAAACAATTCCTGCCGAGGTTTAGATTAGTTTTGCATTACTTGGGATGAGCCGCAAGGTTTTTTTTTAGTACTCCATCTCTTGAAAATAGTCAGGAAGTATTTTTCTTGGTTGCACCAACGAGGTTTCTTTGCAATTTAGTTCGGGTTTCTCCTTTCGCCTAATTAATTGGTTTGTTAATTTATTGTTAAGTAATCGTCAAAAGCTTACTCATTTACTAACCCCTTATTGCGCTTTATTAAGACAAACACGACCATCTAGTTTTAACCAGATTTTCACTTCCAACACTTCGTGTGGGCATAAATTCACTTTAGTTCTCTTTCCTACATTGTACTGAACAACACAAACTTATACTGGACATTTTGACCGATATGATTAAGTATAAGTAACCCTGCAGGAAACTTGGACACACTTCATCGCGGTAATACTCGTAAATAAGTGAAGCTCCGACCAGCTCTTACGTGAGAGAAACCGCGAGCCCTTGTAAAACAAAACCGAATCGAAATGGAAGATGCTCTTGGGTCATAAACAAATATCCAACTTCTTTAGACTGTGCAATGGTGGCTGTACCCTGTGGGGAGTGATGCTCACGTACTGACGCCGTCGGTCAACACCAGATTGATGAATTATAGTAAGTCATCGCACACTTCGAAAAGAGCAAACATCAACTTGTAGCTCATATTTTATATGTATGTAAAAATTGAAATAATTAACCGCCGCCAGTCGGATTTGTGAGATTCTGAAATGATTCTCACACGATCAGATGCACAAAAGATAAAAATTATCTTCATTTCGAATTGGAACGCGCAAGCGAGAGCATTCAAACCGGAACAGCAAAGCGGAAAATAATAGTTCTGTATATATATATATATTTAACTCAGAAAAAGTGCATAGATTTGGGTTTATAGTTAAGAAAATAAATTTCACGCCAAATATGTTTCGCACCGTTATTCCAATTGTTATTTGGTTGCTTCTTTTGCAATATCAATGCCACGCAGAACAAAAAACCACTACGGATTGCTCAAAATTACCTAAATCCATTGTAAGTTTAAATAAATAACAATAACAACAATAGAGCATACTAATCGACAATACACATATTACATACATATATGTATATTATTCCGGCATACTTAATTTTATTAAAAGGCACCTCAAAGTTGTTGCCGCTTTCCGGAACCATTTCAAAATCCAATTTTGAGCGAATGCTACACACTGTACAATGACATTGGACAGGTAAACGAAAATGAAAAATAACGATAATAATACAAATACAATAATAATACACATTCAATGTCAAATATATTTATTTATTTTATTATTTTTTTTTTGCAACAAAATTTTGATTTAATATGGAATTATTATTATTAAAATGTGCCAGTGTTTTGTGGAATGCCTGTTCAACCGTTCGGGCATTTGTCATCAAGGAAAGTGCAGTTATCAGCGCGCCATTGATTATCTCGATAGCGAATTCGCCTTGCAGCAATCGGCTTTCAAAGATATTTATAAACGCGCATTCAAAAAGTGCATAGCCAAAGGTATCTCAATATTATTTTTTTTTTTTTTTCTTAAATTTGAAAATTTTTTCCTTAATATATTTAATTTAATTTAATTTATTTTTAATTTAATTTAATTTTTGATTTAAATTTTTTTTATAAATTTTATATTTTATTTCATTCTATTTTATTTAATTGTTATTAATTATTCACTTATTTAAATTTTTATTTAGCCTAATTTCTTTTCATTTTATTAAATTTTTTATTTTTAATTGTTATTATTTTTTTTTTGCAAACTATTTAATTTAATTTTATTTAATATATATTTTCAATTAATTTTATTAAATTTAACTTAACTTTGACTTTATTTATTTTATAGTATTTTATACTTTATTCCTTTTTCATGTTATTTTAAATAATTTAATATAATTTTTTTCATTTCATTTCAATTCATTTTGTCTCATTTTTTTAATTATTTTACTTTATTTTATTTATTATATTTTTTCGGTTAATTTATTTCATTTACCTTTACTTCATTCATTTTTTTATAATTTAATTTATTTTTAATTTGCTATTGTATTTAATTTGATTGAATTGTATATTATTATTTTATTTCATTCTATTTTATTCTATTCTATAATTCACTTATTTAAATTAATATTACTTAGCCTAATTTCTTTTCAATTTATTAAATTTTATATTTTTAATTGTTATTATTTTTTTTTTTCAAACTATTTAATTCAGTTTTATTTAATATATATTTTCAATTAATTTTATTAAATTTAACTTGACTTACTTTGATTTTATTTATTTTATAGTACTTTATACTTTATTCCTTTTTCATGTTATTTAATTAAATTAATGTAATCTTTTTCATTTCATTTAAATTCATTTTGTTTAATTTTTTAATTATTTTACTTCATTTTATTTATTATATATTTTCGGTTAATTTATTTCATTTACCTTTACTTTATTCATGTTTTCATAATTTAATTTATTTTTAAATTGCTATTTTATTTAATTTGATTAAATTTTATATTATTATTTTATTTCAATTCCATTTGTTTTTATGTATTTCATATATTTTATATTCTTTTAATATATTTCATTTTATTTAAATTTTATTTTTTAGCTAAGCTTATTTTATTTCATATTTTTTCATTTTATTTTCTTTTTTTATTCTAATTGTATTTGATTTTATATAAAATTTTCTGTATTTCTTTTCACTTTATTTCTTTTATTTTTTTATTCCTTCTATTTATTTTTGTCAAAATTAATTTTATTTTATTTTATTTTGTTTTTTTTTATTTTATATTTGTTTGTTTGTTTTTTTTTTCCTTTTATTTAACTCAATTTTATATTTATTTAATTATTTTTTTCTTTCTTTATTCTATTCGATCCTTTTTATTTTATTCCATTCCGTTTCGCTTTTTTTGTTTTATTTTATTTTATACTATTATTATTAATATTATTATTTTATTCATTTATTTGTTTTTATTTTACTTTATTTCATTTTACTTAATTAATTTTTTTATATACATTATTTTCATTTCACTTTATTTTTGGTCTATTCTTATATTTATTTTTCTTATATTTATTTTTTGCTTATTTATTATTTAGTTATTTCGTTATAAAAACGCCTTTTCAAAAATTTATTTAGTAAATCTATTGAGTCTTCACTTTGTTTAGCCAATGATGTGCTTGGGAATATGGTTAAACGCTTTAGCCGCCATGGATGTCATCCTTTACCGGAAATCATTCGTTTTTGCATTCGAAATGAAATGTTTACTTCTTGTCCAAATGGCTATTGGAATGAAAGAGTACCGGGTTGTAGCAAAAAGCGTGATTTTATTAGAAACTGCATAAAGGATAATTAAAGACGCGGCGAAGAAACGATGAAAAGTTTTTATAAAAGCTAAAAGTTGAAATAGTATTTATACTTAATATTTACTCACATAATAAATGCGTATGTTTTTTAAATTGTGAAGAACTTTGCTTTCATTCTACATTTATTCGTTTTTAGGAATGCTTTAAGTTTTTCAACTCAATCATTTAGGATTCGTGCTTTTCCGTGGACTAACTAAATTAAAATTCTAAAACCTAATAATTCCCATTGAGTCAATTGCTTAGCAGTAATCACAATATTTCCAATCCTTTTTTACATATTTATATTGAGGAAATTTAATACTTTGTTAATTTTTTTTTTGTATATGTCAAACTAAGAGAAGTACACCGAGTAATCGTGACCATAAATCTGCCTGTGAGGTCGTTTTATTTTCTAAGCTTTAAAAAGCAAAGTAGAATTTATAACATTTATAACATATTTCAAGTTCATTTGTTGTTGTTATATAATACTTTTGTGAAATTTGAAATCGTACGAATTGCCATTTGTGAATTAAAAAAGCCTCTCTTCAGCATATCAACCCTTAACAAATAACAGCTCTGCTCTTGTCACTGTCAATTTGACATTTCAGCTCTGCCAACCTGAAAGAAAACGAACAAGCATGTCTTCCTTTCTCAAAAAGTCGTGTCTGTGCTAAAGACGTGTTTAAATACTTTTTTAGTGTTTTAACAGGTAAATAATAGTTTAACTGCAAATAAGTGCATTTTAAATGTGTCACGGAGCCACTGCATTACCATTAGTATGTGAATTTTTATATTTAAATAGAATTCCTTGTGTTAGAACACGTGGATATATTCAGTCTCTACTCGCACCCAAATGTCAAAAGCGGAGCACTGAATTATTGTGAGGTTAGGTCGACTATTGTACTGCAGTGAATGCCAGACAACAAAATCAACTCATTTGCTATTAGAAGTTTTGGCTGTTATAAAATTTTCACATTCAATCTTTTCAGAACAGCCGCAAAAATGTCCGGTACAACCGCCACTATTCGCACCCGCAAGTTCATGACCAACCGCCTGCTGGCCCGTAAACAAATGGTTTGCGATGTTTTGCATCCCGGTTTAGCGTCAGTCAACAAGAAGGATATCCGTGAGAAATTGGCTGCTATGTACAAAGTAACCCCCGATGTATGCTTTGTGTTCGGTTTCCGCACAAACTTTGGTGGCGGCCGATCAACTGGCTTCGCCCTCATCTACGATACTTTGGACTTCGCCAAGAAGTTCGAACCTAAATACCGCCTGGCGCGTCACGGTCTCTTTGAACAGAAGAAACAGACCCGCAAACAGCGTAAGGAACGCCGCAACAGAATGAAGAAGGTTCGTGGTACTGCCAAGTCCAAGATCGGTTCCGCCAAGAAGTAAATACGAAGCGGAGTGTAAAAAAGATACAACAGATGTTCCGAAGTATCATTCTCCTTCACAATATATAAGCGGTGCATATTTTCAACTTATTTTTATCTAAAAAGTATGCAGTCTTACTTTGTTTACTATTCAAGTGAAGTGTGCTAGCCATATTGTATATGTGCGGGGGAACACGACGGTCTTATTTGTTTCTTAATTTTTATAAGTAAATAAAATTACATTTTAAAATTAAAAAAAAATTTTATGGTTCTGACATTTTATTTGGATTGCTGTATTTTGAGACAGTTTTGGAAAGATTCTGAAATGAAGAAAGAGAAAGCGCCAGGAAAAATATCTTCTACTTTATTGAATGTATATTGTGTTATTACTGGTTAAAATCATAATCGAACTGGGAGCCTCTGAGCCCATATAGTGGATTTATCAAATATAAATGTATATATAATTGGGGCTTCGTATTTGTTGTGTGCGTCTTAAGGTTTTCCCAACAATGGAATGGGTCTACAGTTTATTTTAAGCCGCCTCCGAACGGTTGATGGATGTGCTGCAATTCCCTATCGCACGCATACAGAAAAGTTTACTTAGTTTTTCACTTTAATTTTCATTTTCCAAAATATTCTATGTTTGGAATACATAGATGGGATGTTTTTTCAAAATTTATTGATATAAAAATAAATTTCTTTGATATCCGCAGAGAACGTACAATACGTTCTCTGGTTTCGATATATGAATATACGTTCTTTGGATACGCTGAATTAATTTTTTTATCGAATGGCTGGCAACTCTTAACTCAACCACAGCAGTGACTGAACTCACCACGCCATGTGCATTGTCAGCTGTTCAACTGTTGACCAAAACGCACGTTTGTTTACATTTACGCCTAGGATCTAACAACATTTTGATTCGGAAATGTTAAAAAAAGAAATAAGTCCTTTTGCCACTTTGGGTTTGCGACCATGGCTAACAAAACAGCTGCAAAAATTGGGTAAGCACAAAATACATATAAACAAAAATTAAAAAAGTTATTAATGTAAAAATAATGTGGTTTAGGTCTAAAAACTGCTACTCCAATACAGCAAAACTGCATACCAGCAATACTTGAGGGACGTGACTGCATTGGAGCTGCGAAAACAGGATCGGGTAAGACATTTGCGTTTGCCTTACCAATACTCGAAAAACTGAGTGAAGAACCGACCAGCCACTTTGCCTTGGTGCTAACACCAACACATGAACTCGCTTATCAGGTACTATTAATTGTTGTCACTTGTAGTAGATAATTATAATTCGCGGTTATTACTTTAGATTTCCGAGCAATTCTTGGTTGCTGGCCAACCGATGGGTGTACGCGTATGTGTTGTTTCGGGCGGTACTGATCAAATGATTGAAAGTCAGAAATTAATGCAACGTCCACATATTGTTGTTGCTATGCCCGGACGCTTGGCAGATCACTTAACGGGTTGTGACACTTTTTCGTTTGATAATTTGAAATATCTTGTTGTTGACGAAGCGGATCGTATGTTGAATGGAGATTTCGATGAAAGTTTAGCTGTAATAGAGCGCTGCTTACCGAAGGAAAGGCAAAACCTTTTCTTTTCAGCGACAATGAAAGATTTCATGAAAGAGTCTAGCATATTCCCTATTTCAAAAGAGGTGGTTATATCTTAGCGTGTAATACACTGATTGCCTTATTGCTAAATTCTCTTTCACAGTGTTTCGAATGGTCTGAAGAATCTGAGGTGGCTACTGTGGATACGCTTGATCAACGTTATATGTTATGCGCTGATTATGATCGTGATATGGTTTTAATCGAAGCATTGAGAAAATATCGTGAAGAGAATGAAAATGCAAATGTTATGATTTTTACCAACACAAAGAAGTATGTCCTGCGAGTATATTGAATAGTTTACTTTTGAGTTAAGTTAATGCAATATTTCTTCTTTCAGATACTGTCAACTGCTTTCGATGACACTAAATAATATGGGTATAGAAAATGTCTGCTTGCATGGCTTTATGCGTCAAAAGGAGCGCGTTGCCGCATTAAATCGTTTTAAATCCAATCATGTACGTACTTTAATCGCAACCGATGTAGCCGCACGTGGATTGGACATACCCAGTGTTCAGCTGGTAATCAATCATCGATTACCACGCACACCGAAAGAATATATACACCGTGTTGGGCGTACAGCACGAGCTGGACGCAAAGGAATGGCTATATCGATATTTCGATTTCCACGTGACTTGGAATTGCTTGGCGAGATTGAAACAGCAATAAATACGAAATTAACAGAACATCCACTTGATCGTAAATATTGACAAAAATACATTACCTTTGCACTAAATTTATAAAACTTACACAACATTTCAGAACGCATGGTGGAGCGCATATTTATGCAGGTGAATGTAACGCGTCGTGAATCAGAAATACAATTGGACAATAATGATTTTGATGAGCGCGCACAGAATTATAGACGCAAACAGTGGATTTTGGAAGGCAGGGATCCTGATGCGATGGAAGAAATGTATGTTTGCTTAAATTTGACATTTTTTTTCTTATATTAATTTTAATCTTTTGACTAATTACAGCTATCGCAAAAAGCAGCGCGATAAGTTACGTGAAGCTCGCCGTCAACGCAAAGAACGGCAAAAGGAATGGGCGGAAAAGGTACCTACGCTCACGCAAGATGAACGTTTCAAAGGTGTTGATGCGGCACGTTTTGAAAATCGTAAAAATACAAAATCCGCACAACAAAAAACTGAAATAAGCGACGGTAAAAGTGTAGTAAATAGTAAATCAAACAGAAAAATAAAATTAAATAGTAAATCCAAAGTAATTAACAAGAATAATACGAAAAAGAATGTAAAATTGTTAAGTGGTGAAAAACAAAACAAATTTATTAGAAATAAAAAGAAAACCAATTAAATCGGTTGTATTGGTTTTAGTACAGCTACTAACCTGCCTGAGCTAAAGAGCTTGGAATTGAAACCAAAAACGCAGATCTTTGATTCCAGCAGCATGTATTATATTTTATTAAAGCTTAGCTTAATGTATATATATGTATGTATTAACATACATACATACGTGAAAACAGATTTTCTTATTTATTCAACAATAGCAGGCACACTTTACATACATAACTATCGTTAGCTTAATCAAAAACTTACATATCTATAAACGCATACAAATATCGTAGGTTGTTATATCAATTATTCAATATTTATTTCTTAATATTATATCCAAAATATTCACTTTTAATTGGCTTATAATGGTAGAAAATTTTAGTTTATGATTTAGTCCAATGATATTGTAAGTAGTGCATCTTCTGGATGTACCTCCAGCAACGCCTTCGCACCGTCATTGAATGGATAGGAAATGCTGCCGTCGATTACCAAATCTGTAAAACAATGCAAACACAGTAAATAAAGTAACAACCATTAAATTAATAAGAATATTAAACATATTTAATATTCATGATGAAAGAATATTATATGTGATTATTAATTAATATGTATGTAATGATTTTTTAATCACCTTCAAAAAAGACGTCACAAAATCTCACATAAGAAACAATTGAGAAAAATGTGAAAATGACTGACAACTGTCGCAATAATTGAAAAACATGTTAGATAAACAACTACAAGGGCAGTCAACATTTAGTAAATGCAAGTCGTTTTTCAGGGTAAGCAGCACATAAAATTTAGATTTTTAAAAGTGTCTGTGCATATGTATGCGTGCAGTAGTGTAGTAGTGAAAACGAAAACTAAAATTGCATCCAAAAATTTTTTCTATGTATACAGAATCCTAGTTTACTATTTGAATTTCAAACCGAAACAGTGAAGTTGTTGATCTACAACTACGCCATTGTGTTACTAATAGCAAATCAGGATGTTGGTTGGAACTATAAATTCAATGGTATGTGTAGCAGTGGGTTCACCATTCAGCAATTGAATTTTCTGAGCACTTATAGGTAATGAAATAGCAAGTCGATTTGGTCAGGAACTCATCGAACCGAGCATATTGTCGAAATTCGGTTTCTGTTTTCGACTGCTAACAATAATATTGAACACACTGGCCGTAAATGCAATCATAACACCGGTAACTGTAATTGCACTTCTTCACCTGTTTTAAGTTATTCTTGATAATAAAAATGTTTCCATTTTCTTCCTTACAGCTGCGGAGCAATCGTAAATTCTTACTGCCATGTATACTTTGGAATTTCTATAGCATTTCAGCTGTCTCAGAGAACATATTGGAAATTATCTGGAATATGTACCTGTTGGAGGTGCCATTTCACTTATTTCTCACCATTTCAATGGTTGGTATATTTATGATTTGTTTACAAAGTAAATTAACGCTGCAAGTGTTGCGTTTCTATGAGTATTTAAATTACGTATGATCAAAAATGATCACAGGGCATAGCGCGATTGTATATGTAAATATTAATATACAACAAAAATAAGAAATAAACATACGTAATGGAAAAATAAGGAAATTTTGATTCCTTAATATTTATATGTACTCGTACATGTGTTATGAACTTACTCGCATCAATACAACGTGACTTCACGAAGAGACTATTGACAAATCGACGCGCCTTAAAGTTCCTTGGACTCGGCCAAACACCAACACAAATTTGCTCGCGTATCGAATAGCATATTCGTGGGTCATCTGTATATTTGTTTGAAAATAACAACGCATTAATTAAAATATATGAATATATATGCTTTAGCTTTGTTGAAAATACCTGGCGCGAAGCGTAGATTTTGATTATATTGATTTGCTATTTCCTCTGCATCGAAAGCCGGCATTGGTTTTCCTCCTTTGGGCTCTGGAATCGGTAATATGCTAACAAGGTCTTCAACCTGTTGGTTGGTGATACGATTTATGCTGAAATACATCAGATATAAAAGGATAGTTTATATTAGTTTTTAAAAAGTTTAAAAACTGTCGAATAAATAATTTAAATCCTTAGCATTGCCATAATCTTAAGCTCCTTTCCACAGCAACAAATATCGATGTCACTACAACACTAATGCTCTGAGCAGAGGCACATTTGCAAAGAGAAAAAGAGAGCGTCCGATATCCTTGAGTACGAAAAATTAGGAAGTTGGGCGACAAGGGTACTACTCTAAAGCTCTTTTAGTTCCTATATAAAGACCCTCATTTACAGAGCGTTTTTTTGTGGCTACAACAACAACAGGAACACACTCATGTATGGCCCAAAAAGGCAATCTGGTGACCGATGTTTAGTTATCATTAAATTGCAGTGTGAACATGAGCCCCCGCAGATGGTGTTTATCCACTCGATCGATGGTCGTCCTCTAACCCGAGTATGACAAGGTCATCTATTTCGTTTGGCTACCTTAAATGAAATGGTAGACAAAATAATACCAGAACTCCAAAATTAATTAAAGGGTTCCGCAGCGTTGTGTAATCTGCCCGTTAATATTTAATTGTTGTTGTATTACGAGGCTGCTAGCTCTCTGATCTTTTCTACTTATCCATTGCACGACATCTTTAACTACAACCAGCGAAATCCTTAGCAGAATGGAGGAATACCTGCTTGAAGTGAAGGTGAAAATAGAAAACAACTCCGCCAATAAATTACCCCAAAAAAAGGAAATCGAGCACAAGCTACCTCCCACTGGTTTGGACGCCCAGGACTAGCGAGACGTAGATGGAAAAACTACAAGCCTGTCAAAACACCACTTTGAAGACAACGCTTTGCAGATCACTCTTTCACATACCTGTTAGAACCTAAACCATACCCAGGCACACCAGGTAGAACGTACTCTGTTCAACATTACATCGCAAAACCTCTAGATAGAACGAGATCGGAAACACTATAGAGAGTTTATCAGCACCTTGATTAAAGCTAATTCAGTGAATGGCGTGAGCGAAATCAAACCACCATAGCGATGAACACCTTCATTAGCTCAGCACTTTCATGAACTCTCTCCCTGTGAATAGCATTCTCCAAGTCAAATCTCAACTTATTACAGACGAACAGCTCGAGCTGCCTCGAGAGTCTCGCGTAATGCTAGCAAAACTTAGGCCTGGATATTTTTGTAGATTAAACAACTACTTATACAGACTCGACCGCGATATAGCTAGCGTATGTCCTACTTGCAATAAATCCCCGCACGACGCTAACCACCTCTTTGCATGCCCCCTTAAACCAACTCATCTAACCCCCCTATCTTTCTGATTGAAACCCGTGGAAACAGTCTTTTCCTTGAGCTTCCGTTAAATGGCTTCGCTGATTTAGACTGATCTAGTTAGTGGTTGGCAAACCGCTACTACAAACAGCAACAACAATAACAACGAAGAACTGTCTCTCGACACTTGAGTAAAATGGGCACAATTAAATACTGAATTCCTGATCAGACCCATCATTACTATTGCGGCCATGCGGTGTACGTCCTATACACGAGGCGCTAAGTACCTCTTTGTGAGTCCACTAAAACACACGCGCGCACACCAAGAATTCTATCAACACATATGAAGAAAAGCAAGAAACGAAAAAGTCGTACAAAGTTTTAGTCATCGCTACCCATTTTCTGACAAATAAGACAGATCCCATCTTACTCAGTTTATCTACACGCTAAAAAGTTTTACTTTACATAGTTGTTCTTGCATTTACCTAGTATGCCACGATGTCGAACCGGTGCCAGTGCTCACACATAAGCCCGAACATTTTGTTTTATTATCCACATTCTCATGATTGATTACTAATTGCAAATGTGAGACACGCGCCGAAAGCTGCTCACCAATAAACACCTGAAACACAAAATGAAAAAGTTTTTTCCGCTGATTATCCGTCAAATGTTCCAAAAAAATTGTGTAAAATGAACCTCATTAAGCGCCAGATAGGGCAAGACCCTTTTCATTTTCGCCTTATAACGCAACGACCACGCTTTACTCAAATATTCTGGCTCAGTCTTCTCTTGTTCCATTTTGGTCACGGTGTGCCGATACAGATCAGTGGATTCCGGTATTTTACCATTACTGCCGAGTATGGATGTGCGTATGCGCGTACGATACATCCATTGAAAATCACCCTGTTGGATATAAGCAAATTCGGAAAATTGAAAACCTCAAAATGAATTTTTTTTTTTTTTAAACACTTACACTCTTGATCTTGGCCACCGCGTCTGCCGTATTCTCTGTATAATGTTTTGGTAACATTAAACGTCCCTCAGAGCGTTGCGGATCGGAATTGAAGCCAACAATTGGTGTCTTTTGTTGACTCTGCGCAAAGAGTGGGCTGGCACGTCCGGCTGCTAGTAGGAAGGTGCCGTCACCGCCCACTGGTACAATCAGATCGGCCCATTTCATGATCTCCTTGCTTAGGGAGCTTCTAAATTCGACTCTAATTTTAGTAAATTCAAACAATCATCAATCATTCAGACAGACGCAGGCACATGTGTATGTTGTATGTATGGAGGATAAAGTTGTTAGGTATAAAAGTTTGCAAATTTTGGTTCAAATGAAGAAAAGTAATAGCATTTAACGGCAATGAGTTGGATGATTTGACGATTGACAAGCATAATGATAGGTACGTATGTGTGTATGTTTGACCTAAATTAAATTTTTAATTCTTTAAAGCGAACATAAAATTATATCACTCTTTGAAAAATTTCATCGAAAAATCAACTTGACCAATGCAGCTCATTTCCACCGGGATAGCTACGTCAATAAGCCAAACTGTCGTATTTGGGGCTCGGAAAACCCAAAATTTGTTATTGAAAAGCCTCTCCACTCTCAACGTGCAACCGTTATGGTCCGGCGGAGTGATTGATGCCATCATCGATATCAAGAGATGATTAATGATTTTTTATGGCCGGAATTATCTGGTCGCCGTTCCCTTACAACAAAATGGCGCTACGTGCCACACAAGCAACGAAACCGTCGATCTTTCAAATTAAAGGTTTCTTTGAATATAAAACCAACACCTCTTATTGGAAAACCCGTTACATAACGTAAGCGATTTTTCTACATCGACACCATTCTTCTCTAAGCAGTTGGTGGAGCGAGTTATAGATTTATTGATGCTTTCTTGGAGTTAGCTTTCTGGCATTTTTCCAACTCTTCCTTTACCTCCTCATCGGTTGAATACCCTTTTCCACCCACGTGCAACTTAAAGGGGATAAAAAAATAATAATCTGATAGTGCTAGATCACATGGATTCGTGAGCTGGTTTAGGATATCCCGTTTAAACGAAGCGATCGTACCGGAGCGCTTCCCCATTCTTTCAGACATTTCGTCAATCACAATTGAAGATCTTCACCGCTCTTCTGTTTATCTTACACAGACGTACGACAGTTTTTGAACTCGTAATACCACCGGTAGGTTCTCCCTTCCAAACGAGTTAACGAATGTCGTCGCGTAGTTCTCACTTCGCGGAAGAATGGATTTGCATTCATCACGGAATGTGTTGCTACGTGAATAGGTCTCAATTGGATCTCAACGTACTGGTCTCAAACCGCTCTGGCGTAAATAAAACCCCTCCCGCGGTGAGAGCTTCACTACACTTTCTTTTTGGATATGAATAAAATGTCGGGCTGGCGTGACGCCACCCACTTTTAGATCAAAGAGTATATTTCCAAAACCACTCGATAAAATTTGATACTAATAATGGCCATGGCCTAGAAAGAATGATAATTGAATGTGTGCAACAACTATGCCTTTGTACTTTATAACGGACTTTTTATTTCCACACAGTCTTCATTCAAGCTCGAATACTTCAGGCACTAATCAATAGAACTGTGATGACCACTGGGTTTTTATGTGGAGCTTTTATTTCATATCAGAAATACTCTCGGAGGGTTGGCAAACTCTAACGAGGGAAGACCACAACTACGCGGCCCCAAGCCGAGTTATACATGTATATATTTAATAGAACTCAACCAACTTTGGTGGGAAGACCACTTTTAATCGTCCTTCCAAAAAGGTATGCCGTAGGTCCAGATTTAGAGATATATACCTTCATCAAATATGATTAGGCTGTGAAGTAAGGCTCGAATAATTAAGGAATTTATCGGGTGACAGTTAAAGTGACTTCCAAACTTTCATTTATTCATTCCAAACATACTATCATGAACCCACATACAATGTATGATAGGATGGAGAAAGTCTTTGTTTCGTAATATCACATCCACTACAGGGCCATAGAAAGGAATGCTTCCCTAAGTGTTTGATTTCTAGGAGCTATACAGCCGGGAAAAATTTTAATTACATGCATTAGCCTTTTGGTATTTCTAAAGGTAATGAACTCAAAGTCGCATATCCTATACAAAAATTGCTGTTGGTTGCCTATCTGCAAATTCGAAACCACGCTATTGTGATCCTCGGAAGTGTACTCTACGAGGGCTTACTATTAATTCGGATCTTCATCATTTTGCAGTCAGAATATACATAAAGAAAGCACCACATTGAGAGGTAAGCACAGCGGGCAGCTGAATTTTTAACTCCTCGTCTCGTATGTATTTCGGCTCTCTAAGAATGTTCACGAACAACTCAGTGTGGATGTGCTGTGGGGAACATTTCAGGATGCTTAAAAATCGCCATCAAAACAAAAGTCGAATTTTGCAAGCAACAAGGCTTAGATCACTCGGTCAGCTCTCTTACTCTTCCTACCGTCTTTAAATTTAAAAGAAAAGTGTAAGGTTATGGAGCAACATGTGGCTTGTGGGTAAGAGCGGAAACTCGACATATTTACAGGCAAAAAAAAAAAGATATTCAAGTGTACGGATCATTAAAGAAACGACGGTTTGATGAAGGCTGTTCGTTGAAATTGCAGAGATAAACGGGCGATGGACGTTTAAAGGTTCATAAAGGAGCATTAATTGGTTGATAGATCAAATTGAGGAATGAATTCAGTATGCTCTGCCCAATCTATAACTTTGAACGATTCTTCAGATACTTAAATCGCGGCGGCGGTAGCCGAGTGCTTCGCATTGCGTACTGCCATTCGGAAGGCTCGGGTTCATATCCCGGTGCCACCAACAACCAAATGTTATGGAAAATTAATTTAAATAAAAATTAATTAATTCTAATTGCGGTCGCCTCTCGACAGGGATTATGCACCCCTCCGAGTGTATTTCGGACATGAAATAAAGAATCCTCGTAAAAAAACATCAGCCGTTCGGAGGCGGCTTAGTATTAACTGTAGGTCCATCCATTTTTTGGAAAAACATCAACGTAAAACCACAAATTGGAAGAGGAGCTCGGCCGAAAAATCGCTTCAGCGGTTAAAAAGCGCCCAATTATTATTATTAGGTTGTCAAATAACTCCCTTCCGCTTTTTTGTCTTTTGAATTTCGTGGCTATGTACAAAGCGCTACTGAGCTCGTATCTTGACATAACCTACAAAACAACGCTATGTATGATTAGTTTGGATATTGCGTTCAACAGTTATAGACGTATAAACATGGAGTTCACTAACGCCGAAATTCGCGATATTTTAAAGTTTTCCTTCGTTGAAGGCAAATCCGCTAGAGAAACGTTCCGTGAGATTAATGGTGTTTTGGGGGATGGTACTCTATCACTTCGACGATTCAGAGCCGGTGAAAACGACACCATGGATAAGCCAGCCGGGGGAAGACCTGTGACGACAAATACCGATCAAATCATGGAATACATCGAGTTAGACCGGCATATGGCATCTCGTGACATCGCCCAGGAGATGGGAGTTAGTCACCAAACCATTTTGAACCATCTGCAGAAGGCTGGATACAAAAAAAAGTTTGATGTTTGGGTGCCGCATAATTTGACGCAAAAAAACCTTCTGGACCGAATCAACGCCTGCGATATGCTGCTGAAACGGAACGAACTCGACCCATTCTTGAAGCGGATGGTGACTGGCGACGAAAAATGGATCACATACGACAATATCAAGCGAAAACGGTCGTGGTCGAAGGCCGGTGAATCGTCCCAAACAGTGGCCAAGCCGGGATTGACGGCCAGGAAGGTTTTGCTGTGTGTTTGGTGGGATTGGAAGGGAATCATCCACTATGAGCTGCTCCCATATGGCCAGACGCTTAATTCTACCATCTACTGCGAACAACTGGACCGCTTGAAGCAGGCGATCGACCAGAAGCGTCCAGAATTGGCCAACAGGAAGAGTGTAGTGTTCCACCAAGACAAAGCCAGACCACACACTACGTTGATGACTCATCAGAAGCTACGGGAGCTCGGATGGGAGGGTTTATCGCATCCACCATATAGCCCGGACGTAGCGCCAAGTGATTACCACCTGTTCCTGTCCATGGCGAATGCCCTTGGTGGTGTGAAGTTGAACTCAAAAGAGGCTTGTGAAAAGTGGCTGTCCGAATTCTTCGCAGATCATCGAACAAAACGGCGCATATTTTAACTAAATCCGATCACTGTAACACTTTTTATAAAGCATTGAATGAAGAGCAAAAAAGTGGAAGATATTTGACAACCTTATATTACATCGCTTTACGTTTCACAAACCCTCAAACGTACTTATTAAATCTTAATTTTTGATGTGAAGACATGCATAGCTTTTAATGGAATTCTTCAAATTGCTTACACTTAATGAATATGCATTTGTAAGTATGTTTCTGTTGAGGAAACACACCCCTTTGAATGATAGACAAATACAAATGAAATGCAGCACTCAGACGTATTTTGGTAATTACCTATTCGCCACCTTCACTTCGCATCCCACATCCAAGAAGCTCTGTACGACATTTCTCTCAAAGTCCTTGTGTAAATTATGCAAATACATGAGCATCTCATAATCCGTGCCACGATCGCGTAACTTCCTCTCCAACTGCTCTCGATTGAGTTGAGGATAGCGCATCTGCTCGAATTCATAACGTGAAAATTTCGTAATTATTAGGGCACGTTGCAATTTGAATTGTGGTGGTGGATATTTCGCTGGATTCACACAACTTTCTCTGTTGTGACTACTGAATTTGCGCCACAAACGAAATTCTGAAAAAAATTTAACAAAAAAATGTATGAGTATGGAGACTTATGAAATCGTTCAAAGGATTTTCGAGAATCGAAAGCTAATCTTCTCATAAATATTCGTTGATTATAGCGGTACCCATGAAACCGACCTTAGCTGGAAACCAACTCAAAACATTTAAAACCTTCTATATTTATTATGAAATTATTAGATGCGTAGCAGCCGCTTAATTTGCGCTGATTTTCAAGATTGGAATTATTATTAGTGTTATTGCTTCGGTAGACGAATTTGTCTGCGAATTCAAAGTTTTGACAGTCAACAGTGACGTGAGAGCCAATACGTCAATGCGCTGACTGCTTGTTTAATCAAAGTAGATATTTCATCTTGTTCCCGTTCGCTACCAGGCCCATACGCCTCACTTGCTTATCCAGCATGCGCCGGTAGTTACACGCTCTTATAAACGATTATACGTTATCGGTTTGACTCTGCAGCTGTAAGCTGAAATACTAAGTTGAAGAAGTCAGATGATAAAGAATCACCTTGTCTGAAATATCGTTTAGTATTGAATGAACTGGAAAGGCCCTACGCTTCCCCCCATTCAAGGGATTCGCATAATAAACGATTTTGATCGTAGCTATAAAAGCAATTTATGGAGAGGGGGTTGAGAAATCTTCTTCGGTATCGAAAACTCACGAGTTTCCATAAATAAATCTTAGATGGAGGACACAGAGCAAGCCAAAAGGGTATGCTACTGCCTTGAGTACATACACACAATACGGATCGCAAAGGGGCTATTAAACTCATATAAAGGAACGCAAATTTTGAGGTCTTTCCAACATATAGAGGAAGCTACAATTTATTTAAAACCCCCCCCCCCCCCCCGGCACAGCTTTTGGTATTTGCATGAGGAGCCCACATTTCATGGCAGAAGTACACTTAAACTTGACATTCCCTGCCGACCGCATTTAGAAAATTAATTTTCTATAATTGATGAATCAGAACTCGACCCTATACCTTGAGTGTGCTTCAATTTAAATGCCAGAGGAGGAGGTGAGCACATGAAAGGAGGTAGAGTCCCGGAAGCCCACCTACTACGTGGCTTAAAGACAAACTTTGGAAGATGGTCTATTCGTAAGCAAATTTTGAGTTCAAATTGAAAAAATAAAACCATTTTACATGAGAATGTCACGATTTGCTGGCTTATTCTTTTACCCAACGCATTCCTGTGATCTTATTATTATATTCGATAATCGTTGCTTGCTCGCCGTCGAAAAGTGAAGACTGAGTTTCAAATTTGTGTTCAGCTTCAGACAGTTTAAAAACTTCGAGAAAAAACTCTCATTTGAGTTATTCATTTAAACAGACGAGCAGCCAGTAAGGTTGAGGTTAAAGCTAAAATTAGTGCTGCCATAACCACATCATACCATAACAACTGATCCAACCAACTTAATGTGCAATATTGTTTCCGTTTATTGGTGCCATACCATAATGCCGTGGGCAAAAACCATACCCCAATAGCTACCAATTGAATTATGGTTTTTCGCTGTAGCCACAGACAATTGGTTCCTTCTTTGTTGCATTTAAATTATTTTTTATATCGTGGCAGAACTTTATAATACGACTTTAAAAATCGATTTTCGACAGCCAACGAGGGACGAAATTCTAAAGCGGCTCATAATAACAAATTAAAATTCATTATATTGTCACTTTTGAACACAGTCAAATATCGAAAGCAGCTCAAAATACTGGCTTATGCTGCAACTGCCCAACTCACGTACCAGCCGTCCATAGTAACCTATCTTATGAGAGCGCCATGTAAACACAAAGTTGTCATCGCTTGCCCATGCCATAGATCATGTGTATTTGTCCTGCATATAAATTATGAAATTCGTTGACGAAAGTTATGAATTTGTTCGAAAGTGTGCAAACATATTGGCAGCTGGCAACATTTCGCCGCTCTCAGCATCGTCGATAACTCATGTATGTATTTCGCCTTGACGTCGGCAGTTATGGACGGCTGGTAAGTAAAATGGGTAGCTGCAGCCTTACACGTCAGATGAAAAGGAGATATCGATAACTACAGCACGTTCTAGAGCGCGTGTATCGAATTTTTGTTTTTTGAAACATTCGTACTGAACTTGTCAGATCTCGGTGCGTTGTGTGTTTACAGTAAATTTGGTGCGATAAGTTTGGCGACATTTATTTAACAATTCAGTGCCAGAACCCGTAAGTTTTGAAAAATCAACGTGACTTTGTTTCGAGAGGAATTTAATTCCTTTATGGTCGAGTTTATTTGATCAAAGAAACTTAGCAAATATGAACAATATTTTTTGCTTGAGAAAAAAAAACAAAAATGTTAAGAAAAAAATATTTTGTAAGGAAATTTTTAAAGCTCATACAACAAGTGTGCATCAAACTTCCACATGTATCAAATTTTCCTAAATCTTTTGACTACTTGTCAAACTTTTGAGGACTACCTTAATGCGTTTCTCTGTGTTTTCCACCTCATCTCTATAACCTAAACAACAATAGTTTTCAGTTCGATTTCTGTCAGTTTTACCATGAAATTATTATGTATTATGACGAATTTCAGCCAAATCGAAAATCACCGTGCAGAAAATCAATATTTTTTGTCACGTGCCCATATGGTATGACTAATCAATAAAGAATTACAGTGTCTCAACTGCACTATTCTATTATTAACTATTTTTTCTCGCTAAAGCAGCATATTTCAAAAAGTTGAAAATAACTATTTTGTGTTAGTTATTCATAGTAATCATTTAATAAGTGTTTTATTTGTATTATTCATTCAGTCTAATAAACAACTCTCGATTTTATAGGGCACAATAATAATAATAACAATAAGTTACAGTTATCTATGTTGTTTTTTTATATTTAATTTACGTAGTTTAACTTGAATCAAACTACTAATCGTAGTAAAAACAATTTACGTAGAAAAAATGTTGATAAAAATAGTTTGCTCTTACATCTGAGCCGCTCATTGACTCCACTTGCAATCTTGATTGTAAGTGTGTCAGAGCCTTTGGTATAATCATAACATTTTGTATTTAAAATACCTTTCCTGAATAATAAATATTAGCACCGTTAGATGGCAAATTTTTTTGGCCAATGAATAATAAGTATTTAATTTATTTCAGAAGCCATTCTGGTTACCTCCACACCCTAATATAAATCGTTTCTGTAACAGTGTATCTGTTTTGTAGTTTCATTCTTCTTCTAATTAACTTTATATACCGTTAGATGAAAGCTATATCTGCAATTAGAAATTCTATAATATATATTTGAATTCATATTCTATTATCAGAAGAATTTTTAAAAACAATATACTACATTTCATCATCACGTTTCTCAACATTTCGTTTTTTGAAGTTAATCGATGTGTGCACTCGAGCGGCTCAATTGTACACTTATATGGTATGATATGCATATTTAAATACATTTATATATATAAGGTTGTCAAATATCCCCCTTCCGCTTTTTAGCTCTTCATTCAATGCTTTATAAAAAGTGTTACAGTGATCGGATTTAGTTAAAATATGCGCCGTTTTGTTCGATGATCTGTTTCCATCTAGACGGCAACTTCATAATACCTTCCTCGTAGAAGCCCCCTCCTTATTTGCGAAGAATTCGGACAGCCACTTTTCACAAGCCTCTTTTGAGTTCAACTTCACACCACCAAGGGCATTCGCCATGGACAGGAACAGGTGGTAATCACTTGGCGCTACGTCCGGGCTATATGGTGGATGCGATAAAACCTCCCATCCGAGCTCCCGTAGCTTCTGACGAGTCATCAACGAAGTGTGTGGTCTGGCGTTGTCCTGGTGGAACACTACACCCTTCCTGTTGGCCAATTCTGGACGCTTCTGGTCGATCGCCTGCTTCAAGCGGTCCAGTTGTTCGCAGTAGATGGTAGAATTAAGCGTCTGGCCATATGGGAGCAGCTCATAGTGGATGATTCCCTTCCAATCCCACCAAACACACAGCAAAACCTTCCTGGCCGTCAATCCCGGCTTGGCCACTGTTTGGGACGATTCACCGGCCTTCGACCACGACCGTTTTCGCTTGATATTGTCGTATGTGATCCATTTTTCGTCGCCAGTCACCATCCGCTTCAAGAATGGGTCGAGTTCGTTCCGTTTCAGCAGCATATCGCAGGCGTTGATTCGGTCCAGAAGGTTTTTTTGCGTCAAATTATGCGGCACCCAAACATCAAACTTTTTTTTGTATCCAGCCTTCTGCAGATGGTTCAAAATGGTTTGGTGACTAACTCCCATCTCCTGGGCGATGTCACGAGATGCCATATGCCGGTCTAACTCGATGTATTCCATGATTTGATCGGTATTTGTCGTCACAGGTCTTCCGCCGGCTGGCTTATCCATGGTGTCGTTTTCACCGGCTCTGAATCGTCGAAACCATTCCTCCGCGGTTCGAAGTGATAGAGTACCATCCCCCAAAACACCATTAATCTCACGGAACGTTTCTCTAGCGGATTTGCCTTTAACGAAGGAAAACTTTAAAATATCGCGAATTTCGGCGTTAGTGAACTCCATGTTTATACGTCTATAACTGTTGAACGCAATATCCAAACTAATCATACATAGCGTTGTTTTGTAGGTTATGTCAAGATACGAGCTCTGTAGCGCTTTGTACATAGCCGCGAAATTCAAAAGACAAAAAAGCGGAAGGGAGATATTGGACAACCTAATATATAAAATAATCTGTTTATATTATTTTATTATTTTAAAAATCTGTATATCTGTGCCAGGCATCTTGAAAAATTCCATTATTACGTGCCTTTTGTAATGTATTGTATTTTTCTTAAATGCGTTACGTCCGTATTTCTCTTTGTTTATACATACACATATATGTATATACATATGTAAATAGCCATAGGAACAACATCTAAAATTTGTGTTACTTATGGATCTGCATGTCTACAAGCTTTTGTTTTTGTAACTCATTTTTAAATCAAATAAATTGATTTCAATGAACGATTTACTGCTGATTTGAAATAAAATCATTATAAATAGACACAAGCACATTTCTTAGATAAGACCGAATTCATATTCAAATTGAAACTACTCAATTTAATGTATATGTATGTATACATAAATATGCTTTGAAAAAAAAACAAACAAAAAAATTTGTATATATTTTATGATATCGATTCAAAACTATCAGTTGATGTCGCTACCGTACGAACAAACCAAGATTACACATTGCATGAAGCCGTAGGAAGTACGTAAACAAGTTCTAGCATAGGAGCAATAGTAATTTGTAAATAAAACTAAATATACTCGTATTGCATAGCAAGAAACTCATATTGTAAACACATTTATACAGTACATCAACAATTAAGATCACGTTTCCAAAAAAGAATAATAACAATAATAAAAATAACAGCAAAGAAATCTATCCTTTCATGTGTCAAACGTATCAGCAAAGAATTTTTTGCAAGCATTCCGTTCCATTTTAAATCATTTTAATTGATTAACTACAATCGCGCACTGTTTTTAATTGCTTATTTTATATTGTTATAAATTACGCATTCATTTCATTTATTTGCCTTTCCGGTGCCTTTCTCTTTCAGTATAATTATCATTACGTGAGTATAGAAAAGTAAAATTATAATCACCGATTTTGAATTAACTTATGGTGTATACATGATAAACGCAATCCAACACTTTATATTCAAAGAATTTCTATCCAATCGGAATTGGAAATTTTATTACATTCGCAAATATAGTGCCGTACACCAATATGTTCATTAAACCGGTAGCAGAGATCGCGCCACAAAAAGTCGAAGTACAAGTAATCGATTTTATTCGCTTTTGCATTCTCTTTTCGATATAAATTCCTAATTGAGAGCATTGGTTCTTTTAGCGAATTTCAACTGTATTTCAATATTTTGTTTATGCTAAGTTGGCAACGAGATAACAACCTTATCAAGAAATAATATTTTATAAGGTTTTTTCAACTTTACCTTTAGTCAATTGACGAGTCAAGGTTTTTGACTTAAACATTTTATGGAGATAAATTTATATTCTATTAGAAAATTTTTGCACGATTTCTCCAGTACTCCTGGGTTTAACTGCATCCGATTAAGAAATTGTTATTAACGATAGAACTGTTTTATTTCAAACACAATTTCGTTGCTGCTTTTAAAAGTAGTAACTCAGTAAAGCAAGTGTAACACACAGAAATACTAACTAGTAACACAAACACGGCACGATTTTTTGTTTTTTATTTTTATTTTTTTTTTTTTGCACAGTCAATGGCACCAATTATACACGCATATTCACATATTTAAAGAATAACTTTTTCCCAATATGTTGTAAATGAAATGCATATTGCGAGTTCGATTTTAAGACAACTCAGTTTCGTGAAGCTTTTTTCCCAATAGCCACTTTTTTAAATATGTAATAGTCGATTGTTTATATATTCATATATACATATTATGGAGCATCGACAGTGAACTTTGCCCTCGCTTTGTTCTTTGAGCAATCTGATCTTAAAAACGGTGTTTTTGCTACCATATTAGCCAACATTTCAAATCAATATGTTTTCCTTTTTTGCAATCTAACTTAGTCTTAAAATAGAAAAGCTTGTGTTGTATTTAATGCAAAAACACTATGCCCGCAAGTAACTGTTTAGTTTGTGTTGCTTTTACCGGCTCCCACAATGATCTTTTCACACTGACTTATCGGACATCACTGATTCTTTACTATAATCTCTCTAATTTGAACTGTATGTATTGTCGTTATAATTGTGGTGCAGTTATTGACTTATCATTTTACTGGGCATGCTACATGAGCTATTATTACCAGCCGCTTGTTTCAGTTCAGTGATAAGAACCATTAATTTGCCGCTTATTAAAGTTTATTTATTTACAATTGCAAGTATTTACCTGCTTCTTCTTACCTAAAGCTGCAGTCTCAATGAGTTAAAATAGTTAACCATTTGAGTCGTATTACACCTTAACACCACAGATCTGATTATATCTCGTTTTCATGAATTATGAATAAAAAATAAAACCAATTATTTTATTTTATATGTAAATTCAACTTTAATGATTTTTTAATTCATTGAAAATGTTACAGAAAAGCATAACAAATGAACAGGTATAGAACTAAAAAGAACATGTATTCTTAAATAAAAAAGCAGATAATAACTCATTTATTTTTCAACGATAATTTAGCTATTTTATAACTTTAGTTATGAAAATACTACTTTTTAACCAAATCTATAGTTAAGTGTTACACCACTTGAATTGGGTGTAATTTTACAATTTTCAATGCCAGATCCATCAGAGCTTACCACTTCTCCGCTGGGACATTTATATAGTAATGATTTGCCCTAAAGATAAGAAATTCATTACATTTTTTCAATTCGCGAAGAATAAAAAATTTTTCAACTTACTTGCAACTCATGAATTTCTTTTTGAATCTGCATGTCGTAAATTGGTTTATGCACTGTTTGTTGTTGAGTGGATTGAAACAGCTCTAACAATTTCCCTGCCCACATTGCCATTGTATCGGCTTTTAAGTTGTTTTCATTGACGCCTAACAGTGATTTTAAGTCACTCTGCGTTTGAGTTGCCGGCACTTGGAGATTTTGTTTTGAAGCGTTCTGTAACGCACCCGATGCTAGCCGCCCGGATATTGAAATGCTTGGGCATTCGATTGTTAGGTCACGAACTGGTTGCTTATTGAGAAAAACTGGGCTGGTGCCGTTTATTTGATCCAGAACAGTTTTTATTCTTTTACTGCAAAACAAGGAAGCATACTTTAAATGGATCAATTTAATTACCAGCATGCAAATAAATTATTATAGAAATAAATTAGAAATTAAGAAGCGAAAGAGATTTTATAAATCTTAGATTTAAATACTTAAGATTATCTTGGCCGTTGCGTTGGTTAAACCGCTGAATTCGTCCATTGTTATTCATTGATAATGCATTGCTATTATGGATCCCATTAGGGCTACCTCCATTATTGCGATTATAATTCCAATTCATTTTTTGTCCACCATTATTTTGTTGACCGCTTCCTCGATTTCCACCACATCCATCGGTATTACGTCGACGAAAGTTTCTATTATTGTTGTTATTCCAACGTCGACGGAACTGTCCGTTACCGCTGGAACCACCCTCGGTGTTAAGGCTCATTAGAGACACCGAATTTTGCTGGGTTTGCATATTAGATCTCCAATTATTTCGATTTACTGTTGGAATTGTTTGCTCGTCGTGCACTACATTATTATTAGTGCTGCTACAATTTGTATTGTTATTTTTGCTGGCATTTAAATTCCTATTAAGCCTTTCACGCAAATCTTTAGAACGGTTTTGTTTCATTTGTTTATCTTCGTGTGAAACTTTTAATTCTGGATCATTAAACATTTCATCGAATTCATCCTTCATGTAATCCAAATCGATATAGTTGGTTTCAGCACTAGGACCCCGCCAAATGCCAAATGACTTATTTAATTTATCATTAGTATTCATTAGAGACGTCTCACCTAGTGCTTCCACTTCATTTTCCATAACCTCATCTTCATCATTTAAATCGTTTGTTTTGGAATTTCTCCGACCAGCGCCGATATTATTTGCCACGCTTTTTTTCTCGTTACTGCATACAGAATTTTTCTTTGATGCAATATATTCATCTAGATTTAATTTTATTACTTACTATTAAAAAAAACAATAATACCAATTTATTTACCCAGCGACATTTCCAAAAACTTATCCATATCTGAAGCCATCGTGAAGATTTTGTCAGGTTACCTACACGCTTATCAGATTAATATCTCAAATCTATAGTTAAGGTACACTGCCTATAAGAGCGGAAAATATAATAATATTTCAAATGAATCAAATAAAAGATTTAAGGATGTAAAAAATTACCTTGAAGCATAAAGTGAAAACAATTATTATTTTTTCATTCTCATTAGTACTGTTCACAGTTATGAAAACCGTTATAATCAGTAAAACATGTGTGTATAAATCATATTGCCACCAATATTGAATTCTTAAGCAAGTAATAATTAATTTTGTTAAAATTAAACAAGAGGGATTAATGTTACACAAAAATGCAATGTTTTCTTTTAGCATAGTGTGGCAAAAATTAGAAATTCGAATATGAGGTGAGATATAGAGGCCGATAACTAAAGCATGTTCTCCAACGCGTTCACCGAATGCTCGTTATCGAGAATATTCCAATGAGAACCTTCTAGAGCTGCATACGAGAAATACTGTGGGTATATAAGAACAAGGCACGCAGGACTGACATCTCCTGCAGAGTAAAAACTCGTTAGTAACAACATCGGTTTATAGGATAGCGTAGTAAACAATATGTTTATAGCGAGTTGTATATGTTGTTGTATAGTTAGTAAACTGTTACCGTGTTATCAATATGAATTTATTTGGGTAGTACAAAATTTTCATTGATGTGGACATTCACAATTTGGGATAAATACGGAAATTTTGAAATGCGGCAATCACGGCAAAATTCACGCTAGATGTCGTCTCAATATCGGAGACGCCATTGTATATTGTTCAGTGTTTCCGGATATTCTATCACTTCTTTAATGTCTGCCGAATTGCGAACATGTGGTGTCACTTCTATTCAAGGATCTTTGGAACGAATTTCTGGTGAGTGCTTCAAAAAATAATATAATAGCAAAATTTATATACCTTTGGTGTTTGTTCCTTTCATCAAAGGACAAACGTTTTGCCAGATGAACTCGTTGTGCTGTCTTGAGAAACATCGTATGAAACCATCATTAAATGTTTCGCAGGCTTCAGCAACAGTTTATATCTAGTAAAAGAGTTAATTGCTTAGCAGTGCTATATAACTGCAATACAATTTATATGAACTGTATTGCAGAACTCGTACTAACTGCGATATAAATAGTGTATGTAATGTCTATCACCACGTAGATGGAACAAGTATGAACTATGTGGTCTAGAAACTTTGCAACACGTGCTCTTTTCGTAGTTTATTTAACTTAAATGCTAATTTCTAATATCTTTTCTAGGCAATCGAAGTATGCAGTCGATTGAAAGGTGTTTATTTTGTGATTCATGTAAGTACCGTGTTTGTACGTAAAAAATCGTTCATGTCGAGCACAGAGTCGCTGGTTTGAAGATAACATTACTTCTGTTAGTGCTTTTTACTTGCTCGCAAAGAAAATCTCTTCGCCCAAGCATAACTCAAATTTTTGTATAAATTTGCAGTGCATATTTTTTTTGTGAAGTGGACATAAATATACATATATAAGGCTAATTTAAAACATCTGAAAAGGAAACTAATCAGAAACCCTTCTTACAGATTGGAATATGTGATGGTACAGAAAATGAAATCTATCGGTATTCGGTGCCGGGGGTTCCTAAAAGGTCATGCTAATGCATAATACCTTCTTCTGTTGAGGTAAATATTTCCATCAATTTAATTAATTTTAGCTTGGCACTGATGAATTATAAATTTTCTTTTCTGACATCTCTTATGAATCAAAGTGATTTCATTTATTTAACTGAACTTAAACCATTAAGTATCCTGAAAATTGTGTAGTGACTTGTATTAAAATGAAAATTTCTTTACAGGGAATCAAGTGGAAAAATTATACACCACGGAACTCTACTTTGAGCGGAAGTATTATTTATGGAGCCGATTTTAAAGGTGATTAATTTAAAAATTTATGAAAACCTTACTTTTCGATGATGATATTATAAACCATTCACAGACAACCATATAATGGTGCAACGCTGAACAAACTGTTCCAATATTCTTTTGGAATAAGTGCGTTCTGTTGAACCGGTTATGGATAATGGTTAGAAAATGGCACTGAGAATACAACTTTCTTTAGGTCTTTTGCTTATTTTTATCGTAAATTTACAAGCTCCTTTTCCGTTTTCTTTCAGATTACTTTCCAAGGGAAAATTGGTCGGCATTGCAAAATTTTAACGCATTTTTTACGGAAATGAATATAAATAAAACATTTTATTAAAATTTAAAACATATACTTTTATTTGAAGTTAGAAATCATTCTTTACTAAGTTTGCACGTTCCCTCAAAGCGAGTTCTTGATCTTGTTTCGCTCTCATGCGGTCGCCTTTGGACTTCTTTCCAATACCCAATTTTGGTAGACCTCTGTTCAAGCCTTCTAATAAAATGCACGCCTTGCAGGGTTGTTGTGATGAAACGAATCCACAACGTCCGCATGTACCTCGCTCGGGCTTCTTCACTGTTTCCTTGAATTTCAGTTGTTCACCAGAATGTATGATATCCATGATAACTGACGGTCGGACTCTTTCCAAGTCTTTCAAAAAGGCGCGCGCATGACCACGGTATGCGTTTGGTGCAAATACACACTCGGTTGAAAAATACACCAGCTTTTTGTAATGAGCGTACATAACAATCTCTTTTTCATATGTATACTTAAGTGGTTTGACGCGCGCTATTGTGTCTTCCCCACTACCAGTTCGTATGGCTGTGCAACGCCCCAAGCGAGCAGTGTCTCCACGCAAAATATTCATTAAAACGGTTTCAGCTATATCATCAGCATTGTGCCCTGTTGCTATGCTATCAACTTGAAGTAATTTTGCTCCTCTATCCAATGCTTGACGCCGAAATACGCCACAAAATGTGCAATTATTCTTCCGACCAATTTGTTCAACTATACGATCCATAGTCCAGCCATACAGTTCATCGTATGATAGTATTTTTAGTGGAATTTGATAATCATCTCGGTTTTGCTTAACTGTTTCCAGACTGTCATCCCGATATCCAGTTATACCTTCGTCAATGGATAATAAAACTAAGTCGAGTCCATAATCGTGCCGATCGTTGAGTAATTTTAATATATATGCTAAAACTGTCGAGTCTTTTCCGCCACTCGCTGCTACTGCTACTTTTTCTCCCTTTTTAAATAGATCATTACTAATAATGGTATAGTGTACTTCTGCTTCAAATGCAGCAAAGAAACAATCTTTGCATAGAGCGTCAGATGTTTTAGGGCGCTGAAAGTATAAAATATATAAAGTAAAATATCTACATCTTGTTGTCTCACGAGCATACCTTGAGTACGGCATTTCGCCCACAATCTGCCTTGCACTTAACAGGCATAATTGTTTACGTTAGATGTTCTTTATATGCACTGCAGTATTCTTGGTCTGGCACTCACTTGAATGAACCGGAGTAATTACAGACTTAGAAATAATATAGTTATCAGTAATTATTCAACGTTGAATTAACTCATTATTAATATTTTAAAAATGTGCTTTACTGAAGTTTTGTTCGAAATGTAAATTTACCAAATATGTCAATTCCACATGCCGATTTTGGCATTTAAGCCAGAGAACGTTCTCTGTATGGTATTTGATTTCGATAACTTTTTACTATCGGTGTCATTGTAAAATTTAAACTTTAATTTTTTAAATTAACCACAGCCACTATCGATGGATGAGTAAGGATATTTATAAACAAATCTATATTAATTATTAAATTGTATAATTAGAAGGTTGGTTAATTATCCACTAACACTATTGAGAATGATATCTCACTGTGAATATCATCAAAAAAATATCGTATATTGCAAAAAGAGTAAATTATTATTATACGCTCTCTGCTGTATACAAGTTGTTGATTTGTTTTCAACTGAATAATTTCGTGTTTTTATTTCCTGCAGAGTGTATTTGCTATGCATTAAAAAAATATTTTTTCAATCGAGTGCCTTTTATTCAAAGCAATTCCAATATGTACAACAATAAAATACACCCGAAACTAGTTTCGATAAGTGTATTCTCGATGATGGAAATTTGTGGTGACAACACTTCAGCATTGTCCTTCTTGGAGGAGTTTGGCCTGGTGCCTTCAAAAAAATCAATTCCTCCAAATTGTTGTGGTGTACCAATGAAGGTGGAAAATGATGTTCGAAGAAAGCTGGGTTGGATGTGGCGGTGTAGGTCATCTGTAATAAAAGGCAGTCCCACTAACTGCCGTAAAATATTAAACCCTAGCGATGGATCGTTTTTCGACGGCAAGTACTTAACATTATAAAATCAGCTTCAACTAACATATATATTAATATACACTTATATATGTATATATATAATTTTTAGGTAAATTTTGCCATATTTCAATAGCGGATGCATTAGCAATATTATTTTGCTTTGTAATGGATGTAAAGGTATGTAGCTTACAAAGCTTTTTTATGATACATCATTTTTTTTATGAATAGGTGTCATATTATTGTTTGGCCTCTCGTTTCTAATAGTGATGTAAATTGGTTTTATTTGGGAAATACAATTTTTTTCTCTGTAAGCTGTCAACAACTACTGGTTCATGATTCATCATTTAGTTTAATAGACATGCAAACATACTTATATAAATCCAGTGAAGAAATTTTATATACCAAGCAAGAATTTACATAAAATAGTTACCGCGCAAGCAAAATCACGTATGTAAGTAAATTATCACGTTATCTTCAATCATATAATAGTATAAATAATTTTCAATATAAAAAATTTATCAACGTTCAGATTATGACTGGGTACCATGTAGATAATACATACATACGAATGTACATATCTAGTAGCTGTTGAGTACCGAATATTAATTAAATGCTATCGTTAGTAAATTAAATATTTGCCGAACCTTTAGTGAAATTGATATAAAAGACTAACTGTCTTTAACTTTCTCCTTTAGCACTAGTATACATAGTTTCCATTAACATTTTTTGTTAATTAAAAATAAAAAATATTAAGCATGAGTTTTTTATGTTCTTTCTTTTTTATTTGTGCATATTTATTTACATAATTATATACATATATAGGTACATATATGAACATACTAAATATATGTATATCATCACAGATTATTTTTGCGCTGAAACATTTGAATGCTTATCGTCAACGCAAAGGTGATACAACGTCATTAAGCACGGGTACTATAACCGACTATTACAGTCACTGCCGAGAGGTTGCAGAAATAATCTCTTCACATACGGATCTGGAGCTCGATAATTTAGGCAGAATTGTTTTATTTGACGAGACATTTTTAGCAAAGAGAAAATATAATCGAGGACGATTCAACGAGCAGATGACTATCAATGTAGTGGGTCTATTTTGTCGCGAGGATAGATCTGGACTATTTTATAAAGTCAACCATACAAACATTAAAAGCTTGTGGCCTTATATAGCAGAACTAGTAGACCATGAGAAACCAAAGAACAGTATATATTCCGACGAAGAACAAAGTGATAACAGCATAGAAGATAACATTCTAAAAGGGAAATCATTAAGAAATGTTCCATCATCTAAAGGGACACCACAGTTAAGCCATCAAAATATGGGTGCAACATTTTACAGGTAAGACATATGTACATATATTTTTCCTCATTATATTGGCTATTTTTGAATGTTTATATTAATTTTTCTTGTTTACAGACGCCACTATTTGGCTAAATGCGAATCTGATGGGGAGAAAATAATGACATTCCTTCAGCATATATGTGAAGTATATCCTGGGTATAATGATGGTGTTTTGAAAACCGGTCTATTCCTAAAGGAAATAGATCCCTCATCGGAAACGGCTCTTCACTCACCCAAGAAGAGAAAAATTTAATAAACTAATATGAAAATGTGCTGAAATAATGTGGTTATAAATTTAGCTTGTAATATTTGCTACCTTTTAGATAGAATATATTTGTGAGTGTGCAATTGCATAAATTTTTATATGTATTATCTATAAGCTTTTTTTATTTTTATAATAGTAGCCGTTATTGTTGCAAATTTTTCGAATAATTAAAAAGCTGCTGTTCAAACTTTTTATACATACTTATTATTAAATGTACACGTTATTATTAAATAAAATATACAAAAAATAAATCTTACTAAAGAATCTTAAACATTTGACACAATTCTCCAAGGTAGTGTTATCAGAGAACGTAAATATATATATATTGTATTTACGTTCTCTGTTATTATCATCGGTTTTTGTTGTGAATACCTTTTTTATTTTATGCCTTTTTCTCCACAGACAGTGTTGCCAATATTCTATTATACGAATAACATTTACGTTTCGAAATCCTGAGAAGAGAACGTAAATTAATAAGCAGTCCAGACTCATACGGTCTATGTGTAAAAGAAAGGTAAGTAAATACTTCTCTGAAAAATTTTATGATATGAGGAGAAATTTGTCATAAAGAACAAAAACACTTAAATTAATGACTAAGATAAAAACTTGTCCGGTTTTTAGAAAACACATCATTTGTACGTCAAATTTTCAATCACTTAAACAGTTCTGTTATGAAATATTAACGCAAAAATATTAAAAAAAAACGAAAAAAGAAAAGAAATATAGTATTCCAAATAAAAAATAATAGTATTGTTGCGAAAATGCGAGGCGAATGTCAGATGAAAGAGAGAAGCCGATAACTAGTACGTTCTAGAAACGATAAAACAAGAACCTTCCATAGCGAACAATTCGATGCTTCTACGCTTTCGTCTGCGAGCAGCCGACTGCTATATAAAGGCGACACTCAGCTGCAAGT